TAACGTGAATCGAACTCAGATTGCCGAGACAGTTGACTGGATTAAACTGATTAAGCAATTACTAGCCTAATGACTGGTAGTTCTTTTAATCAAACGAAACAGTCACCTGGACTTGTTTAAGATGGTTCGAACAAAGGGTCGTTTTCCACCACAAACCTGCTTCTATTAGTGGGCGGGAATAATCAAGTAAGAACTAACCCTCGGTATCGCTCGTGACATATTCACAACAGAGTCATATAGCGAGATAGTCATATCGTTGATTGGAGAAAAAATATATTTAAAAACGTTTTTAAAATCTACTTTACATGTAAATAAAAATCACACAGTAGTGAGAAACATAAAGCAATGGACCATATAAACAGAAATAGCGAAAAAAGATGAGAGGACTTATAAGTCAATCTTCGTAGACTATCATAACTTACAACTGAGACTTTTACTTACGTGAATATTTTCTCAACATATTGTTTAAGGTTACATAATATCACTTGTATGTATGTTCTGTTTTATGTTTGTTATATATTTGAATGTAAAACATAAGCCTAGTCTCAATAATTGTGAGATGTCACTAATTATTACTAATAATTTATTTGTGAGATCAACGAAAAATGTATAATAATATATCAGTACCGTACCTGCTATATCCAGTATCAATGAGGCCTTTCGCCTAATATCAGGACTACTCGGGCAAGCTGGGATACAACAAGACATAGCAATGGTTGAGTAGCTATTTATTTTGCCATATTTCTTGAAAAATAACTATTCCGGTGTGAATTGGAGTAAGTTGATGAAGCGTAAATTTTATTAGTTTTATTTAAATCACTACAAATTACAATTAGGATAATGCATTTTTACAAAGTTTGTATTTGTTTTAAGCCTTTCTTTAGTAATGAAAGTAGAATCTGAATCTAACATACAACAAACGAATGAGAAAGAAGGCACGTGATATGGTTTAGAACGTGAATGAACAGAAGAAATATTCTAAGATGAAGAATGTAAGAAAAACGTATTTGGAGCCTAAAATCGTAAAGCTATCATCATCAAAGATGTGAAGTTTTATCTAAGAAATAGACAAACATATAATTGAGTTACGAATAAGAGTTGGTATTCATCTATTATCTGAAGGTACTTCGTTTTAAAAGTTAGAGTTTATTGATTTAATTGATGGAAAACAAATAGGGAACTTTGTTATGGTTACGATCTTTTGCACGTCTCTGTTCTGAATGCTTTTGATAAGGTTTCATTCAAATATTATAAAATTTGCTAAAGAAATTATCTATTTTGCATTTGTAACAATTTCACACCTCATTTATCATGGATTACATAGTTTTACCATCCTAATCTGCACTGCAGATTTAATGATATGTGTTAAACGCATCACGACACATAACAAATACGTAAACATAAAAACTACTACAACGTAGGAAGTAAAGTTAAGCCTAATAGACGATAAATACCGTATTTTTCGGTGTATAAGACATACTTTTTTCCCCCAAAATTTGATGTCAAAATCTGCTTGCGTCCTATACACCGAAGGTATGAATAATATATATTGTTACGTCTCCGTTCGTTAGTTGATTTTCCGTAAATTCGTTCCGACGAAACTTTAGCGACACAAGTCCTTTGTTAAATAAAACTGGTTTATTCTTTCCGAATACAACTTACGATACACTTAATTTCAACAGTCGCTCTATAACAAACGCTCACGTCTCACGTGGCCAACAATATTTTGTCCGCATACATTCAATCACTCATTACCTACACATTATCCCGTCACGTTGTGACCATCTTATATATACCAGACTATCCCCAATCTAGTAAATGCTAGGGCATTCACGAAGGAACAGGATATTTCTAGAAAACAGGTGGCGTGATACTAGTCATGTGACCTCGCTGACACAACAATATGTATATATATACGATATACACAAACCATGTGTAAATATATTTAAATAGGCATGCATAATTTAGTTCAATTGAATGTATTATTTATAACAATAGTAGTTTTTTTTCTTTTAAAAACATAACTATTTATAATGCTCCCTAAATAATAATAAGAAAAATTACAGTGAAAGCAATGAAGATTTTGTAGGTTTTGAACCAAACTAAATAACGGTAAACCTTTGTTTGATTTACGGTATTTTCTTATTTTGATGTTTTGGGCTCTTTTGTGTTTAGAACAATATATACAATTTTTTAAAGTATGAAACTGAATTTTTGTTCAATAAAAATCTTTCAAATGCGACTGTAGCTTTTTTCCCCCCAAAACTTTGTCTTCAAAATAAGGGTGCGTCCTCAAGTTAAGGCGGTAAACAGAAAGCTGGTTATTTTAATGTTTTGTGACTAAACTAGCATAACCATTAACAAAAATCTTATATCCTCGAAAAATATAAAGTGTTTCTATTTTTGGACATGGGTTAGTAATGAATTTCACTGTGAGAGAAATCAATAACAGAAAACTGTTAACGACAAACTCTTAAAAACCACCTTTTTTTAAAATAAATGTTAACTTCTGGTCAGAGAATTGATGGAACATTTCTCGTGTGGATAAAATCTGAGGGGTCTCTTACAAGATTTTAAATGGGAGACTGCTAGTATGGTTACAAGAAAATAAAACTAATAACACAAATGAGACAGTGGAAGTGTAAACGGCGTATCCTGTTTTAATGTTGTTTTCAGATTTATCTATCTTCTGAGAACATAAAATTTTAGCTGACTTTGAGTCTGCGGTCGTACGAATTAATCGATACAACAAACAGCATCTGTTGAATAACGTGCACCTACTGCCGAATAGTCTTGGTAGACTCAGATCTCAACCTCGTTCAACCAGAGAAGGCAACAATGGTTAAAATGTTTTGTATTGCGTTTTACTTTACCTCTGAGATAACGTGTATTAACATATGTTTTGTTTCTCAGTTATTAAGCGTTTTATGTTTTTGCAAGAGAAAGTATATATATTCAAATGAGTTGTTCGGTTTCTTCTTCGCAATTGTGTTTTACAGAAGCACGCATGAAGGACTTTTCTGTAACATGCTTAACTCGACTTTTCAAAGTAAAACAAAGCATTACAGGGACAATCTCCTAAATCGATATGCCTTCATCTTTCTCTTTTTGAGTTACGAATGAAATAGTCATTAAGACCGAGATACTATGCTCAAAATCAACATCATGTATTTGCTTTTTAAAAACAATTACGTAAACATTTACCCTAAATAAATCCCGTGTTCTTATACAGATAAAACAATGTATTTATTTCTATGAGTATGATATATACATTAAATAAGTCTGGGCTTAACGTCATTCCGGTGAGTTAGCGATAAGTTTACGGACTTACAATGATAAAATCTTGGACTCGATTCCCCACGATGGACAGAACGCATATAACCCATAGTGTAACTTTGAGCTAAAAAAAAAATAACACCAACAACTATGCTTAAATGAAAATAAGTTAAACTTCTGATGAAAATAAATTAGTTGTTTGAAAAAATCACGCTTGATTAATTAATGATTTTTTAGCAGAAACTGTGGAAGTTATATACAATAATTAATAACATCAGTATCAGTTTCTAGGATCGTAATACATATGTATATATTGCTAAAGTTCCCTTTTCTAAATTAAACTAACTCCTAATTTGAAAACATAAAATCAAAAGAAACACCAGATATAATTAATAGGCAATTTAAGGTCTGAAGTGAAAATATTAGCATTTCAGGATTTAACTTTCATTATTTAATGAATAGAAAGATTAGACAGAGAAATAATAAAGTTATTAACTGCAAAGATCGAAACACGAAGAGGGGGGGATGGTCAATGATTGCGTTATGTTCCCAAAACCTTCCATAAATAGTTTGCAAGTACAGCAAAATTACAATATGTGTTGTTATATCTCCCACATTATGCTAACCTATAAAACTTCAGAACCATATTGAATAGAATAGTATGAACTTTACGGAATTTAAGCTAGTAGCCATCGACATTATATCGCGTTACTTCAATTCGCTAATAATACAAAATCATAGTGTAACCATAAAATTATACAAAGCGCTAACCGCACTTTACTCCAACGATTTGTAAATGCTTATGCAGTGGCGCCTCACCGCTTGTTACATGTTTGTCATATATATATATATTTAGTTCACAACCAATTTCTGACTGTTCGATGGTGCAATGATTTGACGGCTGGCAGCCTCTCCGAAGTGAAATATTTATACAGCGAGATTGTTAAACGACATTTTGAGGAAGGAAGCCTTCATTGTTCTCCATGGAAATGGAAAAATTCGTACAGCTAATCCAGAGCAACTTCATCATCCGCCAAGAAGGCTATGATTACGAAAGAGAACCCTTCTATTCAAACATTTATTGCAACTAAGTCGGACATATCTCGTGATACCAGAACCAAGGTAATAAACAAGAATTAGAAGTTAACAAAAGCTCACAAGTAAAGAATCTACAAGCTTCTAGCCACGTCTCAGTACCAACATATGCTTTCACGAGAAAGATGGTTGAGAAAACTAGAACAACGGCAATCCCATTCAATCACGTGGTCTTGCAACCAGAGTACACGTGCAGTGGAGATATTGTGGAAAGTTTGTCAAAATAAGTAGTTTAAGATCTACCTCGCCATCCTTAGCAGCACCCTAACCATTGGGCCAAGCCCGGCTAAAAAATAAATAATTCATTCTCTAATTAGTTCGAAAAATATTTCCGCTTATAAACTGATAGTTCGCTTTCCTTTTGAAAGATATTACACAGATATTCGATGGAATATTTCACAGTTGAATACAGAATGATTATTTGCTTAAAGAATCTTGAATGAGAAATTGCTATTGTGCTTAAAATAAAATAAAATTAATAGTACAAACGAGTATGTTATCTATCTACCCATAATGCGATATGTAAGTCTATGATTTTAGTTCCTAAACATTTTAACATTATAAAAGTAAATAAGTCAAACACAGCTGTATTTATCTTTATATCGTAAGGGGAGAAGAGATGAACTTACGAAGAGAGTTGTATCTCCTGATGATATTTTCTAGGAAAGTGTTCTGGGGAGCAACTAGACCTCTCCTCCCGCCCGGCATTGTATCATTACTAAGGGGCGTGTTCGTGTATCCCAGAGCTCATGTCTGAATCCAGCAAAGTCGGAGAGAACGTGGAACTGGAGCAAATTTGAGCATGACTTGAGGGATGCTTGTTTTCGACATAAGTTCGGTTCAAGCTACGCTTTAAAAAGGTTTAGCCATAAGTGTCGACTGTCTATGGATAAAATCTATCAAAGCTGGATAGCGGAGTGCCAGAACTTGTTATACATTTCATATTTGAAGCCTTTAACTTAGCTAACATCTTCTAGATATTCCACAGTATTCCTAGTTTCAAGATTTACATACAGGTTTAGCGCCTCTTACGAAGGGATTTCTTGTCCTTTACTCAGTATGAAGTGTTATTCCTTTTCGACGTTCGTTAATCCAATTATCTTCCTCGCAACCAGCTTATCGCTGATCTTCAAGCCTACCGAGCAGTCTCAGGTGGTGGACGTCAGTGAACCTGGAGACGAGAGTACTACTCCCTTCTCTTAGTTATGCATCCAACTTATTGCGATAGCAGGAAGACGGTGCGCCCACGCTGCACGTTACTTAACAGAAAACATTGCGCATGCTTGTTGTCATAGCAACCACGATCATGGTCGCCTTGATTCAGGTTCAAATGAGTGTTAAGAAGACCTTCATATTAACACCTAAAACTTTGTCCAATGAACTGTATTAATACTAAGTTTTGTATTATACAAATTTAAATTTTGACAATAGGTGCATATGCATGGTGCACTCTGTATACCTATTCATTACATTTATGAAGACATAAATACAAATTTAATACAACTTTTTAATTTATTTAGATATGCTGTGACGTTTTTAACTGCCGAAAATAAGGTCAATTAAACTTTTCTTTTTTTTACTGACCAATGGAGACATCTAAAGCCAAAAATTCGCCTTGACTGAATTTCATAAGTTACTCGTACTCAAGTACACTATTCAACAATGGAAATAAAACCCATTTAATTGAGTCTTTTTACATAAGTTTGAGACATACTGGGCTTAGGAATAGGTAGAGCCAACGAGGAAATTGCCCCAGAACCCACTAAAAATTATGTTTTATAAAAGAAAGATTGAAATTTAGTAATAATGAAAAATTATAAGTTTATTGCGATTTATTTATTTTTGTCTATACTCGATACCTGTTAAACCATCTCTCAACTCTTCTCTTTGAATTATCTTCAAATTAACTAATACGTAACAAGAACTAAGTTTTGAAAAGTGCTTTATTGAAAGGCACTTAATAACATGTTTACATCATCGGTCATTATAAAAATATAGATATAGTATAATGTATAGTTTACATCAATTGAGAATCGGTTACAATAACCCCTCCAAGAACAGAGTGTATTTGTAGAGACTAGTCTATATTGAAGAGAGGATGGGAGAGCTTGCTCAATAAACATTGAGCTGAAGACAGAAACTGAATTGAGTTATTATTCTTATTTGCCTAAATTATGAATTTAGAACAGATTTGTCAAAGTCTGAGAAAGACA